GCAAAACGGAACGAGTGGGGACCGACACACGCTGCGTTTCGACCTGTCGTGATGTCATCGATCGTTTCACGCGTTTAGTTTGCACATTATCATAAGCATTCTTCTTAAAAGGAACGTTCTGTCTGGTCATCTCTTTTTTCGGCTTCTCGAGAAACGAACGCTATCAGAATGACTCGAGAATCGTCTCAGACTCTTCCGAGAGCCTGGCACATTAATGTAAACAGTGGTCCCACGTTATCAGACACTCTCTGACAAAATTATTAGGTTCATTCTCAGGCTAGAAAATTCCGAGTAAAAAACTTTGCCTGTTTCCTGTTTCTGATAAAATTTCAGAACCGACTTTGTTCGTGCGTTACATACACGCGCCCGGTGTACTTTCTCTCGAACTTTCTAACCAATGCGACGGACACAGTTAGAAGGAGTTCGCCTAACACCGCGTGGCGCGTGACACGCGTTACTCTATTTTCTATTCGCATCTAATTCCGTCGGACTCGGCGAGAACCAGCCTGAGTTTGAGTCAGGTCGTCCAGTCGAGCCGGGTTGGACCGGGTCCCGCGATCTCAGACCTCGCCCGACCGCGTCCCGCGTGACGTTTCGCGGTGAACGCACATGAATCATTGAATCCGATCCAAAAACTAATATGGTGCGGATACGAGTCGCATGAGCAGTAGTAGTAGTAGTAGTAGTAGTTCTTCCGTCTTATATCGCTACGCGAATGACGTGGACCAATGTGCTGGTTTCAATACAAATCTTACGTACAAGTAATTTATGACACTCGTACGTACCGACTGACACGACACGATGACGCGTGGTAACAACAAGGTTTTCATGCGATCGATTCAACGTCCGAGTGTTCAAATATTTTTATCGCGTCGTGGACATAGAATGATATTTTGTAAAGAGAGATATCGAGGCAGCGTGCCATTCGTATGACACGAACTCTTATCGGGATTCATAAAAATACCGGAGGACAACGAATCGTTTGACGATGGATACTCGCGACGTGCTCGCAACGGATAGGAGAGTTCAGGGGGTCATTCGCCGGTCAGTAGACGCATAGACAGGTGTGACGAACGGTCGCTTAATCTTAGATTAAAATACCAATAGGATCAGCAAAAGGGGCACCGGTGTGTCGCAATTGTCTTGCTTTTCGCTTCGATCCAGAAGACGACACCCACATGCCATTGCTTCCATTACCATATGCGGAGATCCCGATGGTCTTTGGTTACCCCGGGTGGCACCCGTGTCTCTCAGTCACCAGCCGTCTCGTGGACCGTCAGTTTGGTAGATCGCTCGCTGGTTCGTTTACTCTCGCTCGCGGCCACAACCGTTCATTCGTTAGTACAATCGCTCGCGTGCTCCGTTCGCTACCACCGTCCGCCTCTGGTACCAGTCGGGCTCGATTCTCTTCCCGTTATCATTCAGTCTCTGCTCTCCGCCAAGTGCGTTCCATCCCTAATAATCGATTGCCTTTATACAAGTTTGAAATCCATCGTATTAATAATAAATCGTCGGTGTGTTTCGTTGGCTGTCATCGTTCTCCGTGGCAAATAGTTACTTCAATATTCCGCGTTAGACTCGTTTCTGCCTGTTAATAGAATCGTCGGGCTTAATTGGTCGCAACGGGCGAGAGTAACGAAAATTCCGCCTTGCTCTTCTATTTATCGTGTCTGCGCGAAATATAGTCGGGATATCCTTCTTTCTCCCTCCCTCGGCGTTTCTCGTGGGAACGATGAACTAGGCGTCAGCGAAAGACCGATTACCGCGTCTGGTGGTGTTCCACCGAGGGACCACTTTGCCCGAAGAAACGTTGAGTGGTTACGTCTGCGACGTGCCGTGATAAATTCGGTCGTTGATTCGTTAAGCTTCGTTCGCGTGTCTGGAGAGCCCAGGCACGGGACAAACGGGGGAACGAAATTAGCTGTACTCCGTCCTCTTCGCATTGTCCGCGTCGCCGATGCACCCTCGGCTTCTAACAAACGCGTTCCCTCACTCGCTCGTTCGTTCGTTCGTTCGTTCGTTCGTTTATTCGCCGCGTGTTAATCAGAAGAGATCATTGTTAATTTTGTTCCAACAGTGCAACGCCGATGTCAAGATTTCCGATCGAGAAAGAAACGAAAGTCGAGGTGAAAACGCGGGAGGAGGAAAGTGAGCTTAATTAAGGACGAAACCGGGTCTTCCGTTGACTCTTAAGTGCCATATATAATTAAAACCTCTCGTTAAGATATAAGTCTATTAAGTGCCCGTTTCAAGTGTTCGATTCACAAGCTACGATTGTTAGGAGCTAAGCTTCCGTGAGACCTGTTACCGTAAGAGTTCGATTAAGCTTTGGACGCGCTCGGTGTCAAAAGAAGAACAGTGCGCTCTGGGTACGCGTGTGCGCGCGTAAAAGCGTATCCTGGCGAACGAGAGGAAAGTGAAAATAGAGACTGGTGCGTGAAACGCTCGCGACAGAGCGAAATGGCTGGCTCCGAGACGACCTGAGGAACTTGTAACGAGCTTAACTGGTTAACTCGAGATGTCCACTCAGGCTTATTACAAGGAGAGGCTCGGTTTCGATCCGGCCGACACCGTCGCCGAGCACCACCGCGAGCAGAGATCGCAGCACGGATACGAGGAGTCGCTATCCAAGTTCAAAGGTCAGAATCAGGCGAACGGATTTTCGTGGATGATGGAGCGACGGGAGAATTGGCGGGTGGAAAAAGGGGCCGAGGAACACCGTTCCGGCAGCACTCAGGCTTTCTGGGGTTGCTGGGCGATGTTCATCGAGGCGCACGGTAGGTGAAGAGTTGGCATGCCGATGCTGGACCACGTCCAATACCTTGCCCCTGACCCTCCACGTCCTACCGATGGGAACCTCCTCACCAATTGCCCGGAACAAACCTTCCGTTCCTGTTTTTATTTTACCCTTTTTTCACGTTTCTGGTTTTTATCGATTCGCTTTTGCTTCCTCCCTTGGTACCGTTCACCGTGATCGTAGCAAGCCGTGTGACTCCTCGTGCTCTTTTTCACTCGAGATGAAAATCGAGAGCGAAGGGAGACCCGGGATTCGCACGCATCGCGTAAAACGGAGCTCGGCCGCGAACGGAAGTATCTTTTTCAGGTCGTTTACCTTTTGCCGCTTGACCCGAATGTTTCGCGGAAGTAGCCTCGGAAATAGCCGGGGTAAAATAGTTGGCGCCTCGAGCTCCTTCGATTCAGAGACTCGGATGTTTAATACCAGGGACATTCTCGTCGCGCGTGATTCTTTTATCGGTCAAGTGTGCAACACGCGTGTTTGCGGATTTTTAATTTTTTTTTTCTTTTCATTTTTTTTTTTTTCGTTAACATTGACTAACTTTTTTGGAGTGCCGTTTTGTGTGTCTAATATCGCGTTTTATTTCCGCCGGACGTCAAGCTTCCTCGTCACCTTGTTAGCTACGTAGAGTCGTTTACATTAGAATCGCTTTTGCGGACGGGTTACGCGCGGCTCCTTTTGTCCACGCATACGCACGTAGATAGCGTCTCGCTTGCGAAACGAATTTACTGAAACGATTTCGTGTTTCCCTTGCGCGTGATTCGCACACGAATCCGTTATCAGGCGAATTGTCCGCGAAAACGTGCTCGGTTCGATATGAAGTCTGTTACGATCAGTCGTACAGATAAGCCACGCAGTTGTGTACGTGTCGAGACGCGTGTACGTAATTTTTCATTCGGCATTCGTCAGCTGAAATTCAACGATCCCCTGTCCACCGCTCCAAAAAAAAAAAATTCGTTCTCCAGCGAATTGTCCCCAGTTATCTCCAATTATGCTTCGGTATGCCACTCTTCTAAAGATTGAACGCGTCCAAGCATTCTTTTTCGAAGACGCACGCGACTGTTCGACGAACTTCGATCGGAGCCGATTACCGACTAATGCCTTGTCACGTCAATTAGGATGAATGCGATCTTTTATTTTTAACGCTTACGTTACAAACGATTGGTTTTACTTTTATCTATTTCGTCAAACATTAGGTAACGCGATTCGTTGATGGGACTGTACACAGAGTCGTAATTATCGCGGACGTTTCATAAAAGCGTCATTATGGAAACGGTGCGAATGTGGTTTTTTATCTACCGTCGTCGTCGGTTACGTCGGAGGAACTTGAGCGAGCCTGTTGTTTTCGAGGTCGGACGGGATAACCGCGGGGTTCGATACGGGATCACGACTCGCATTAGTTTCGATTGTCCCCGTTCGAGGCACCGCCCGGTTTCGCGATAACTCGTCGTTAATTGAAAGCCTACGGCTAGATGGAATCGGATAATCGGCCGTAATTAATTGCTACGGCGAAGCCGGAGCCTCTTCGGTTGATTAATTTCGCGTTCGAGTCGTGTCGTCGAACCTGCGTGTCGTACACCTCGGTGTGTACACTCCTAGCTCGCTTCGGTCGCGTCTCTCACGGTTAAAAGTATCGCCGCGTATTCCATCGACGTACGTCGTATGGTTGCTAAATCGGATTACGTGGAACGTGTGTGTACAGGCGTACGAACCGCACACGGGTACGTACGTGGAAACTGGAAAGGCGGATAATTCTTGCTTTTATATCATTCGCTGGTTCTGGGCCACAGGTTGCAAATTGACTGACAACAGGCCTTCGAGCGTAGGAATTGGGCAAAGTTTTAGCGCACGTTCCGCTTGTTTCGCCTGCACGATCGACTGCTCTTTTCCTATTTGACTACCTGCCTACGTATCAACACCCATCCGTATCCTACCTATCTGCCTACTTACCAAGCTATCTAACCACCTACCTGCCTGTCTGCCTGTCCGTCTATCCGGTCGCTTTGACTCGCTGCCTGATGCCCACGTGTAGGCGATCGCTCGTGTGTCGGTGATAAAGTGGAAATGAACGATCTAATTAGAATCTAACACAGCACGAAAACCGTATCTAGAACGTTAGAACGAAAGAAACGTCGGTTTCGACAAGTGACGATTCCCACCCTCCTCGCCGCTTCTAACGAATCGCTGTTCTTTGTGATTGCAGACGAACGAGACGCGATCCAAAAGAAAACATTTACCAAATGGGTGAACAAGCATCTGAAAAAGGTAAGCACTCGATTCGGTAGAGAACGTCTAGCATTTTTCAACGCTACGGTCGACGGGTGTCAATGTATTAAACATTCGAGGATGAATGCGTCACGCCAATCCGAACGATTATGATACGGTAGTTCCTCGGAAACTTAGTAATTCCGCGAATTATGGGGGGCTAGGCTCGTTCCTCGAAGGTGGCCCTTCCTTCGAACTATCGAGCGATCCTAATTTTAGAGCGACCTTAGCAGGAGGCCACGGCTGGCGGAGCGAGAGTAGCTACACCTGATAGGTGAGCACACGGGAGCAGCGACGCGCAACGCCGGGACAACCAGCTGTTTCGTAACCACATACGTAAACGATACGGGGGACCTTCCCAGCCCCCTTCGTATACGTGCGTGTGCACGTGTGTGTCGTACGTGTTCCTGCACCCGTCTCTTTGCCCATGTAGGACGTACGCGTGGGCCGACCATAATCCCCTACCAGGAGGGTATTTCACGCGCTGCTATAGAAGGCAACGTGTCGAGGAGACCGAGTGGGTGAAATCGAGAAAATCATTCCGATCGATACGCAGCCTCCTCTCCCCTTTTTTAACCCTTTATCGGGTCGACGTGCCCCACCCTGGGTGAACGGTATCTGGATCAGTCAGCAGGATTCCTCGATTTATTAAAGAGTCTTCCTTTTTTCCAACGCAGATTGATTAATGAGATTTGAAGGATCGCGCTACCGCCGCAGCTACTATTTAACTCGCGCTCGCTCGAACAAACACCGCCACTGTTCTGCGTCGTACGCATTCTCGAGCGAACACGTGATGGAAAAAACGATGCCGTCGGCGATGCCAGGGTTTATTCCGATTGCCTCTGGCTGGCTCCGATGTCAATACCGATGTTTCACGGTGACGAAACGAAGAGGGACGCGGCCGGGCGTCGTGTTAATGGCCCCGAAGACGTGACCGCGACGGACGGCGGACGTCGACGACGATGTCCACGACGACATGGCACGCGACCGCGAACAATTCTTGCAACTCGAGACACGTTAGCCTTGATCTCACGTGACTCCCGCCGCTGTCTTCTCGCCCGCGGCCTCGGACGACGATGACGCAGGTCCTTCTTCTGTTTTCGGACAGAACGAAAAGAGACAAAAATGAACGATGATTGTTCTCGAGAGAGTAGAGATGAGAAACGGCGCGATGGAGAGGAGATAAATCGAGTAGCGATGCATTCTTAGCATCGCTTTCTCGTTACGTCCGCGCGGCGTATGCAAAGCCCCGGGAGTCAAGGGGGAAAGGAGCGAGGTTGAAGCGTATTAAGCGGCGGGTATAACTCGATTGGCATTTCGAGGGTTATCGAGCCTTATTTCTCCTATGTTAGCTGTTAGCTACGCGAGTCGAAAACGAGGAATGACGAAGAGCCGGCGCTTATCGAACCACGGCATTACTCACCCTCTTCGACTACGCCCGGTTCCATTACCTACTCCGTTCCTCGTTTAAAACCTCTCGAGCTCTCCCTTTCTCTATATTTCCGATCCGTGACCAACGGACTTACGCACCCACGACCGATCAGCCACCCCTTCGAACGTTCGTTCTCTTCTTATCTTTTACGGACGTACGCGTCGAAACGACTCGGCTGTCTCTTCGTAATGGATTCCAGGGTAATACAGAGAACGGTACTGCGTGCTTGCGCGTCGCTCGGTACTGGTTCTCTTGGCTACCTACCTGCTCGATCCCTCGCGCCCACCTTTCCTCTCGTAACTCTGACCTTATTCGGAAACGTTCTCCTGCGGACGACGTTCTCGATTTACCACCTCTTGCCTCGGTAAGTAGGTGGGTAAGTAGGCAGTTAGCTACGCAGGTAGGCACGCATTCAGTCATTCGGTCAGCCAGTCGCACGGAGACGTTGCACAGGCAGAGACGAAGAAAAACCTGCACGAGATCGGTCAACAGTGTTACCGGTGATATGACGCATCCGTTGCCTATTGCGTAACCATGCCAGGAAATGGTCCGCTGAAGTAATCTCCGCGTCCATGAATTCCGATCCGATGAATAATAAAGACATCCTGTGTGACCCTCTTTTCCTCCATTCACGCACACAATGCGGATTAAGGAGAATCACGCTTTCCAGAATTATGACCAAATGCCTTTAAACGGAAGACACAAGCACACTTTGTTCTCCTTCGAACGGTGCCACGTTTTTTTTTTTGATCTTATTTTCGATGTTCATTCATCGATATTCTTTTTATGTCGGATTGATCGTACGCCCGTCGACTGTCAGCGTTTTTATCGTGCGCCTGTTTCCCATTCCGATGATCGGTCGTTGTCCCGGGGCGGTGGTGCAAAAACTCATTCGATCTCTGTTTCTGCTCACGCGTTTTTACTTTCGTTCTACGTACTCACCCAATCGTGCTTAGCTGAAAGCGAGACGCTTGGCGTGACGAGCCCGTGACAACGCACCGATTGTTCCATCGGGACTTGAACGATTGCATAAGATACCTATTGTCAAATGAAAATTCATGATCATAACGCTGTGTTTTCGATCCTCCCACGCTTGCCGCAGCACTGGAAATACGTGAAGGTAATGAATCCCCGGGAGTAGAAATCCTCCCTAGGCAATCGCCTAATTGATCAGGACGAGTGGTTCGCGTGTTCGATTACGGGTTAATCGTTAAATGCATGTCGATAGCATTAGGGTTTAAATCTTTGCGAGACTGTTCAAGTAGATGAGTTTCATAGTAGTTACCAAGACGTAACGAGATTCTAAATTAGACGTGATCTATCGCGGTGATTAGCGCGTATCATCGCTACGGATCAAACCGTGAAATCACGGATTGCAAGACGGGAACCTCGTTGTATTTTGAAAATTATGCTTCTTTTAGTTTAGAATGTTTACAAATAGTCATATTGCATCGTTAGTCATTAGCGCTGTTCTCTTTAAGGATGTATTGGCTATACAGTCAATCCTAAAAGTTTATGTATTTTAGAAAAACGCATTTCCTATAATTAAAAAGAAATCAGACGTCGGAAGAACAATGCTAATAATAAATAGCTACGTACTAAAAAGTATAGAAGGAAATATTCAATTAATTATTGA